TGCATATAATAGGAGGAAGATAACTTAGCATAAGAGAGTACTTTCTGTCAGCTAATGTCTCATCTTTTGCTTTTTATTGAAGCACCTTAGCGTCTTCGTTTCGTGTTTTAACAAAATGACCGTTTAAAGTTTTTGGACAGAAAATAAATGCTACTTTATTATAACAGACAGCAAATCGTATATCTCATTTCACCAATCAATGCTGGATCTTTCTACACAGGTCCTTGTTAAGTAATAAAGCCATTATTCATTTTTCGTACGAATGCATAACGTGTAGTCATTGGTTATTTGCTTCTTATTTAAGCGTATATAATATACAAGCTGTATCAAGCACATATTTTAAGTAGCGTATAAACCGTGCTTTCAGAAATGTACTCGTTGAATATTACACGGCCTAACTATTCAATCATTTCATGATTTTTTTTACTAATTATATCACCTTTAATAAGGGTTTGTAAGGTTGTAGCTCAATTCTAATTAAAAACTTCTTTGAAGCGTTAACGGAAACTGTTGTGATTTAAATTAAACCATTTTTTCAAACATTTATTCGTAGGCAAGAGCTCTGCTTAATAATAACTTGTCATCCCTTCCAACAAAGTCTTCGTATGATTTATAATCAAAGTTTATTTTGGAGGTTTGTTTTATCTTTAATTGTACACATATGCCTTGTTTTTACGAGTACATGGTTTTATAAGGAGGAAAAGTTATTTAGATAAAATAGATACTTAAAAAAATTTTTTAATACAAAATAAAATCTCAATCATTTAGCAGTAACGCAATTGTGATTGTACTGTTTTGAAGTAGGCTTTAAAAGCACTTCTAAATCTCACAATATCTTTAAATTAAACTTATACAAACCAGGTGCAATCAGTTTATAATAAAAACTTGCGAGGGATTGGCAATGATATTCTAGAACTATTATTACTAATAAATGCTGTTTAGAAAAATTAAGGATGAATTAAAGTTTCTTAGAAAAGCCAGTACCAATACCTTTTTGAATCAACAAGGTATAAAAAAGCTTTCACATTACCTTATCATTGGAATATTTTTATTACATCAATAATGTCGTTTTGCTTCAGTGTGTGGTTCTTAACAGAGCTTTGTTACAATTCAATGCTTTGCTTATAGTCTCTGCAACCAGACAATTGATGTTGTTAAGATCTGAACAAAAATTACAGAACAAAAATCTAAAAAAACTACTCTACAAGCACACATAGACTCACAAGTTCTTTGGTCACAATTTATTGCAATACTTGTTGTTTTAGTCATCAAGTCATTCAGGATGTAACGTAAAGAATTATAAAGCTTACAGTAATAAACATTATGATAAATAAATGAGTCTATATCACAAATGACTTGTTAAATAAAACTATCATTGAAGTAAATAGTTACACTTTGATCAGTTTCTCTGCAAACCAAATCACGATTACAGGACAATTAATAGCTGGAACTGCTTACATAATCATTTTATTTAATGAATACTAATAAATATTTAGCAGTATTCATAACTTATTTTTAGTAACAAAATTCATTGAATAACACGTTGCTAGAAATTAAATTATGACAGTCAAGTTCGTTTAAGTCAGCAAGTCATACCTTATCTTTATGCAGTTACTTAAAATACCGCCATCTGAGTGGAACAAAATGTAAATACTAACTTACAGTTATATATGGTCTTTAATGGATCTTCTATCGGTTTGTTCTTTAAAAGTAACGTTTTTGAGTTAGCTACAGGTTTTGTGGCAAAACTCAGCAAGAAATTACTTTAGCATATTCTATTTAAATTTTCGCGTCTGTACATATGTTGCAAAATTGTAATCGATACAAAACTTGTTAGCCTTACATCCTAATATTTTGATTTTTGAACTTATTACCGTTGACTTTTTGCTCAAGTCCCACAAAACTACTGCTCAAGTTTTATGCAAGTCCCTTGCAAGTACTGCTGAAGTCCCTTGTAAATACCGCACAAGTTCTGTACAAGTACGACTTATGTTCTACGTGAGACATGTGTATGAGTTAGTCTCGTGAAGTTCAGTGTGCTATGCGCTCTCTGCGTATGATATTGTTTCTGCTTGTTAATAGCCTGTGGACCATTTTTTTTGCAGGTTGGGCTTGTGCTTGTAGGCCTGTACCATTGTGTCATCTGGACGTAGTGGTGAGAGCTCTATAGAATGCTGACTGGAGATTTTTCGTGGGGCTGCTACTGCATGTGATTTGCTAACATTATCGTTTGTTATCAACTGTGTCAAGTGGTTGGCCATTGGCAGTAGCCGTATTCCACCATGCAAGCTTTAGAGGAATGCTGTCTGGTAGCGACTAAATAGCGTACGCACGAATTTGTTTCATCGTCTGCTATTAGAAGGAAGCTTACACATCTGATAAATCATTCGTCTGCTTATTTTTTGCGTGTCAATAAGGTATTATCTTCTGTGAATAACCCAATAGTTATAGAGGCTGACTATATTGATAAGAAAAATTGCAGTAATCTGGGGAACTTGTGGGGGCTGGCCTTGAGATATGGAACAAATTTGAGCTAAATTTACAACTGCTGGTCCACGACGCTTCTACCTGATTGCAGTCCAAGAAAACTAAAAACCTTTGCAGAAAGCAGAATATTGTGGAGGCACCCAAGATCAAGATCCCACAAATAAAAATAGCTAATACGTACTTGGTTAGAAGTGGAAAAACGTAAAGTGCTATAATACAGGTTACCCGAACTATTAAGATACAGTGCTGAGCCTTGTAGTGATAGGAGTAACTGGGAAAAATGTGTGAGAGAACGCACCACACGCAAACTTATGAATGCTGCAGCTGTACGCTATGCTAATTGTAGGTCTACGGATGTTTGGAATTATAAGAGTTACACTGTGTTTGATCGATTGAATTCCCCAATCCTTATAGCAAGATTAACAAATGAAGCAGATCTTATTGGTTATGGCTGACAGTGATGATCAGGAAATTCAGAGCCTAATACTTAGATATTAAACGCGCAATCTACTTGTTCTCATATTTAGGAGGTGCAGGGCATTATTTCAGAATTAAGACTGCAAATACTTGGCGTGAGTGGCTCTGGCTTAAAGAGAATCCACCCTTATAAATATACTTCATTAAGTAATGACAGATGCAAAAGGGGTAATGGCGTTGCGTTGTTCATATACTTCTCGGTCTGAATGCGTCCTATACTTTTCTCTGACTACGATCATGTTTACCTTAAAAGCCCTGAAATTATAGCAATTGAAATACGTTTTCAGCGTTAAAGGCTCTTATTGGTAGTATATAGTCCTCCAGATTCAAGGTAATGGTGAAATTCGAATGAGGACCTCCTGGGCTGCAGATGAGATCTTGACGGAGTGGGTTAATTTAACTTATCCTTATAGTTTATTCTAACAATGATTGGAAAATTCAGTCTTCACCATATATGTTGCACCAATACATAGGGCTGATGGCTTTCGAAGTACAGTATACTACATTTGTGTCTCCTTTGTGAGCGATCAGGTAAAGGTTCCTAGTATCTCCAAGCACAAGTTCATATGACATCATATTTTGTGCGTATATAATCTGTTGCTCTCTTGAATGATATCGCTAAGTCGCGTTGAAATGCCATGAGTGCTAATGGCATTCTAGATTTGATTCTGAGGAAGTGCTTGCCTGTGATCTTGTCAATTTTATTGTATATTATAGATAAGTTGCTTCAGTGATGCATTTTTCCAGATTAATGGAGGCGCACAATTGTCTGCCCCCTACCAAAGATAAAAAATCTAACTACAGCTCAGGACCCTCTCTAAATAGACATTTCGTTAGAGGCCTCCAATTTTCTATAGTCAGTGGCTTTTAGCAACCTCATATCATTTTTCAGAGCAAATAACGTCTTTCGCAGATAGTCATCAGACTTCACTTGAAGAAGAGGTACCCGCACTGCTTCAATAAAGATCTCTAGCAACATTAGACTCGCTATGAACAAAAATATAGTTACCCTTTTGGTCATAAGTAATATTAGTAACGTATTAGAAAGTGCTGATATTAATACTCTAACTTACAACCTGAGATATTTTAGGTGCTCTGTATCCATATACAGGTAGTTGGACTTTTTCTTCAGTGATTTCTAGCAGATAGTTGTTTGCCTGGGTTGTGAGCACTTGATGCCAAGAATCATTAATGCTGTGATCTCACTAGGCTCCTTAATGAGCTCCTAGCTCTTTTTTTGTATGGTTAGGTTGCTCCAATGTCTCCAACACTGTCAATGCCATTTTTATGCTGATGATCTGATCTTTTATTTGCAGTGTTCGTTCGAGAAAATAGGCAGGGTCACACAGCTAGATAACGAGAGCCTTTTGCATGTACACATCTGGGCATTGGATCTTGGAAACTTTTCCATACACATAAAAAAGTTTACAGATATGTGGCTGGGAAGCAGAAACAACATATTTAAGATCCATGGTATACATCAACAAAGCCTAGTTATTAAAGTTGCTGCATTAAAGTTTCATCCAACTATGACTTTTGGTGGAACATTTGACTGCACGCTTGACTTCAGAGAACACTGGTTAAGTATTTATAAGACGGCTTATGTGGAATTAAATTGCATTAAAAGAGGTCATGATGGACTATTTCATAAGTAAAGACTCATGCTCATTAGATCTTTGGTCCTGACATATTTCGATTACTGCACGCCTATATACCTTGGCCTTATAAAGAACTATAGGATCTGATTTAACAGAGTTATAAATGCGGTAATTTATTTTGTAATCGTTAACAAATATCTCTTTCTCTTACACCTAAAAGAATCGTGCTCTTATCATATCTTGTTAGAATTGTAGTGTACTCTTTAACTAACAAAATTAATAATCTCCAGAGACAGCTACATAAATATTAGAAATCTATTATTGACCGTATAATCCTAAGTAAACATTTATTCGACCAGCATAAGAATCTGTAAATAGAAACTATTCATTTAAAACTTATACATAATGAAAACTTGCCATTTAATTTATCAAATTTATTTTTAATTTAGGATACAAAGTTAAATCATGTCAGTTTCCCAGAACCAACTGGATTATGTTTCAATCAAAATGAAGCCATTTATCAAGGTAAGAAGCACTTTTCTATGCTCACTTTACATTTGTTACAACTTTTTAGTGACATATTTTTATGACATAACTTTTATAAATAACTTATAAGCTCTTATTTTACTTTACTTGTATAACTAGGAGTATTGCAATTGGTATATTCCTAATTTCAATATAGTCATCAGATCAACATTTGGTACATACGCTTGGCACTTCTGACAATGCAACATGACTCTGACGCCACAGTTTTTATCATAAGATTGCAGACATTCAAATTGAAAATCTTTAAGTTAATTCTATCAATATACTTACTGTATTTAACGACTTAGAAACAAAAACAAAGAGTGACGAAATTCTATATTCTCAACACTGGTTGTCAAAAACTGACCATTTTCAAAGCAGCTCGATTAAAAAAAGTGTTACTCATTGCACTGGACTATATTACTGTTTAACTTTATAACTTCTTCTATAGTTAAGCTATAATATGTACACTTTTTCAAAATTTATTTCAGTTATTTTGAAGATGTTATTTTATTTTTAAAGTTTTGGTACTACAGAATAAAAAAATGAAGTCTGTTTGACACTATTATGTCAGTTTTTAATTATTAACTTTGAGAAAAAGGCCAAAACTTATTTTTTAAATTAAACTCCCATTTTTTTACTCTTATCGGCCAAAAGCAAGCTATTGAACTCATTATATCTGTTCAGATTCCTTTGATTAAAACAACATTATAACTCTAAACTTGCTTTTAATGAACTTAATACCAGCAGTCCAAGCACAAAGGACAATATCTATGTACTAAGGTAAAGAAGTAGGCACGACTAGACGTAATGGCTGATAGAAGCGTTGGTACCAAAGTGCTGTTACAGACTGCTGCTGTTGCACTGCCACCAAAATCTTGCTCTTGCACCGAGTCTTTCTCAGCTCAACAGTGGTGCTCAGTGAGAAGCAGAAAATGGACCAGTGCCCAAGACGATTCTTGGGAGAGAAACATGAGGTGATAACCGAACATCCTGCCCCTTGTTCCTGAAAAGTTTTCGTAGGTCCATTCACCATACAGGAATCTTCTGAGACTGGTGCACAAGGTGAAGCAGGAGGCTCGTCCAAGGACTCGATTGGCACGAGTGCCAGCTTTGTAATGGGCCAGTGTGAATTCCAGTAGCAGTCTTGACTTTGATGGATTGGACAAGGCCATCTAGACCATGATTCACGTGAACGATCCTGCCAAGAGGCCAACGTCTGTGGGTTGAGAAGTTGGTGGAGTCAATAATTGCGGCGATATCACCAAGCGCCAAGCCAAGTCGAGAAACAGTTCATATAGGGTGTTGCTGGAGTTGTTAAGGTATTCGCGACACCAGCAAATTTAGAATTAGGAATGGATCACTTTTACAAGATTCTAATGCCAGAGACGATCTAGGTTTTTGCCAGAAGGGGGTGCATCGAAAATTGCATTAAGTGGCCCAACGATGGAGAAGTGGCCTGGTGTAAGAATATTAATATCGTTAATGTCACCAGAGAATGGCGTCAGGGGCCTGCTGTTAAGGAGCATCTCAATCCTGACGAGAACTGTGGAAAATTATTCGTAGGTGAGATGATAAACACCCATGATAAAGTAGAGATGGCTCTTCAGGGAGTTAACATCGGCTTTCCAGAGACAACCAAAATAAGAAGTAGCCGGAATGAAAGACTTCCACAAGATACCTTGGTCAAAAGCTACCGTTATGACAAGAACTTAAAGCTCGACGTGCTGCAAGGCTTCTCGCAGAAGAAGATCGGTTCGAAGGAAGCAAATTGCGTTGTCAGTGCAGAGCTTGGTTGGCCGACAAGCGCAGAGGGTTACATAGTCCTTGGTTGTATAGATTTCTAGTACTTTGGCAGCCAAGATATTAAAAAGATTAGTGTAGTCAATATTGGTGTGGCTAAGTGTAAGTGGAGATGTAACACATGATCGTGGATGATATGTCTTTATCTTAGGTGCCAGTCATGCTTGCAGGTGTGCGCAGAGAAGGCACTTGCAGAGATAAGCTTTGGTTTTGCGCTGGCCACCAATACTTCAAGCACGCTGAGCTACGTACATGCTGGTACTTGAAACCCGTACGTATATCACAGCGCACGTAAATTGCCAACACAAGCAGTGAATTGCTATTTGGAGTATAACACAATCACGGAATAAAATGTTAGCCGGAACGAGGCACCACTGATTCCCTTTTATTGAAAGGCTTTATTTTTTGATTCCTAATTTGTTGCTATGCACACATTTACAACGTTTTCCCTACCTTAGGTCCTGGAAGTAAACTTTTTTAAAGGCATTGGCAGATTTTTTTTTCTTTTTTTTTGTTTATAATTTTTTTGTGTGTTCTATGCTGCTCTAATAACGTGCTTACAAGTCTAAGATAATACAAAAAAAATTGTAGTTGGTAAGCGCATAAGGTAAATTTTATCTTATGACGTCAGGACTATAAAAGTAACCAGGAGTGGGGAAACTTCCTACATCTGGGCAATGTAACTTACGACCTGCGAGTTGTTCGTAAGATTTTTAGAACAAAGCCACGACAGGATAATTCAAGAACTGTTTCAAGCATAGCAGCACTCCACAGAATTGCTTAACTAAGCCAAAGTCACCTTTAAGAGCTTTACAGCGAGAAATGCAAGGTATCGTCATACGTGCCTGTAGAACGGTTGTTGGCTTGAGGTTCTGGATCAGCACCAGCTATGTTTTGACCATTAAAGTGTGGCAATAAGTTTTGCCCAAGGAATCTGTAAGCCAGGAGTAAACAACAGTGACTAATACAGGGTGGCTAGCATCAGAAAAAACGTAAAGGTGCAAATCCGATATTATAGATAAAACAATTCCACACAGGATCGACACTTCACTGATCGCCTGAAGTTTGGCGACAAAAGTTGTCCATTGGTAAGGCATGGTGGTAGAAACGACTCCGTTTTATACCAGAGTAGCATTCCAGAGATCCTGTACCAATAACTTGGCATTTAGGAAAACGTGTACAAGCCAACCCCAAGGATTTATTCGGTGGGCAATGGCAAGAGTATAGTCCATTTAGTTTCCTGCGAAAAATTCGTTGAAAAGGAGGGAGGGAGTAAAGCAAAAACTGTTTGCAGCTGAGTCCCAGATAACTCCAGGTTCATGAGCCCGTCCACACTGAGTTGGAGCCAGGTTAGGCAAAAGCGAACCTCTTGAGGAAGATCTGCCAAAAGCTCAGCAAAGTTGGCCACCCACATTCCAAGTGGAAATCCATCATCTTGCATGAGTGGCACGAGCTGGTTGCAAAACCAACGTGCTGTGTTGAGGTCGTAGGCACTGAATATTATCCACGTAATTGTTCATGACAATAGGAACAACTTCAGCACATTTGGTTCCCTCATCCTCACACAGCTGCTGAATGGTACACATCGAAAAATGTGGCCAGAAAGAAGCGCCGTACGTTATAGTGAGGAGTAAGGAATAAGTAGGTGGCACACTTGGATTAAAGCTCCAAACATTACACTGCAGATTAATGTCTCATTGATCAACCCAAATCTGACAATATGTAATCTTGATATCAGTGCAAAATGCGATATGATTCTGTCTCTAACGAAATAAGACAATCATCAGTGTGCTTCATCATCAAAATGCAGAATATCTGTAAGACTGTAGTCACTAGAAGTGATGTGAGATGAGTTAAATACAATGCGTAATTTTCGGCTCTGACCACCGTTCGGCCAGATGTCGTTGTGTAAAATAAAGAACACAGGTATATTCGTGAAGACCAATTGATCTTCAGTCACCGCCTTTATATGGCCAAGGGTGAGGTCAACATCCATAAATTTTTTGTACTCTGCTGCCATATTTAGATCTCGTTAAAGCTGATGATGTACAAATTGCAATGAATCCTGGGCACTTGGCAGCCTTACGCTGAGAAGTCAAAAGTCGAAAGGCGTCCTGCTTCAGGTGAAAGCGCAGAAGATAGCATCTACTTCTGTTTCGCTGATGGTCTGACATTATCCGTTTGTACTTAAGGATATCAAGGGTGCAGAGAAAAATCTATGGGACGTTCTTAAACATCCAGAACCACAGCGTCAGTAAGATCAGCTGGTGATGGCAGGCTGGAATCAAATCTTTCTGGTAGGTGAAGCATTCAGGTGCATGTTCAGTGTGAACCTAACCGATGACAGTATGCTGCCTGACGATATTGCAAATCTGCACATATGCTGGGAGGAGAAGAAGGTAATATACGTCCACACGAAGGAGAGAGTCAACTTCGTGAGGTTAGTTAAACTTGGGACCTGCAAGATCTTTCTGCTGAGCCCAGTCCTGACGGGCTGTCAGGTCTAGTGGGCTTTCTAGAGCTTAAAGACTAAGGCATTGCAGGTATAGCACTGACAAAATAATCGAGGAGGTACCATCTCAAAGCATAAGGTACCCAAGAGCCATGGTCACTTATTGCGTGACGTGGCTACTTCCTAGACCAAAAATGCTTGCATTCGACTCCTCCAGTGGCGCCTCATCGAGAGAGCTGTAATTTCTGAGCCACGGTCTAGAAAAGGTCTCGCAGCAGTTGTGCTTTTATGACCACTACTGAGTCAGATAAGCGCATTAGGGAGGATGGCTAGTCTTGCTTACAACTCTGTAGTATTGTTGTTTTCGTTTAACAAGACCTTCGTTTCCTACTTCTACAGCTTCATTGGGGCAGCACTTTCCTGGAAGTCAGTGCCCCACTTTTGGTGATCGTACAAAAGGCTGTGGTAAGCTGCCCAGTAGTTCTAACAGACTGTTGTGGAGGAACATTCCTTGGCCATGTGCCCTGACTTCAAGCAGTTAAGGAATAACTTTGCACCAAACGTGAAATGTTTTTTCGTGGCTGTTGTTAAACCCTGAAATTTATTACAGCACCCTATGTAGTGAGCATCATGGTAAGTGGCGTGTACTATGAAATTAACCTGGGTGTCAAGAGTGCGAAAGTTGTGTGTGGCAACCAATGAAGCAGTCCTGAGTAAGGTGGTAGCTCTAGCTGGCCACGCCAGC